GCTCATGTTGCTCTTCTGCTCTGCCCCCCCACCCCCTCCCCCCCTTACACTCGCCTTTACAGCTATGAGCGCCTGGGGCCCAACAAGTGGACGGGCGCCTTCCAGTTGTGGGGCATGAGAACCGCGAGGCTGCTGTCAGGCTTGCTGCTCCCCCCACTGCTGCTGCTGCTGCTGCTGCTGCTGGCGGCCCATCTGCTGGCGATGTGCCGCCTGCCTTCCAAGTGACCAACTTCGAGGTGAAGGCGTGTGACGCGTGCGCGCAGCCGCACCTGGTGCTGGCGGCCATCATCGCTGCTGGCATGGACGGGCTGGCGCGCAAACTGCAGCTGCCGGAACCCATTGGTACGTGATGGCACAGCTGCCAGTATGTCATGTACATGTGAGCCCACCCGCAGTTGACATGTGTGCGCAGCACTGCCGCACCTGGTGCTGGCTGCAATCATTGCTGCTGGGATGGACGGGCTTGAAAGAAAACTGCTGCTTCCAGATCGGATTGGTATGTAGTCTTTGGTGTGCCAATCCATGTGAAGGCGTGTGAAGGCGTGTGAAGGCGTGTGATGCATGTGATGCATGTGATTCGCACGCACTGCCACATCTGCTGCATGCCTGCGGTCATAGGGTCATCATGCGGCTTTCCCCTACAAATCCCTCCCGTCCCCCCCTCCCCCCGCCACCCCTTTTCCCAGACGTGAACCCGGCTGCTGATCCACCTCTCGGCTCTGCCCCCCCTCGTCTGCCCCCGTGCCAGGGCGCGTCAACTGATTTCCCTCACTCCCGTCTCTCAACAAACCCCTCACACCACCCTTGTCCCCCTCCCCACCCTTCCTCCCCCCTCCCCTCCCACCCGTCCTCCCCCTCCCTCCCCACCCTTCCTCCCCTCTCCCCTCCCCACTCGTCCTGTCCAGACGTGAACCCGGCTGATCTTCCTCGCGACTCTAACCCCCCTCGCATACCCTCCCGCCTCGACGAGTCAACTTCATTCCCCTCAAACCCCACTCCTAACAAACCCCTCACACCTCCTTGCCCCCCTCCCTCTTCCTGCCCACTCCCTCTCTCCACTCTTCCTGCCCACTCCCTCTCTCCACGCTTCCTGCCCAATCCCTCTCTCCACTCTTCCTGCCCACTCCCTCTCTCCACTCTTCCTGCCCACTCCCTCTCTCCACGCTTCCTGCCCACTCCCTCTCTCCACGCTTCCTGCCCACTCCCTCTCTCCACTCTTCCTGCCCACTCCCTCTCTCCACTCTTCCTGCCCACTCCCTCTCTCCACTCTTCCTGCCCACTCCCTCTCTCCACTCTTCCTGCCACTCCCTCTCTCCACTCTTCCTGCCCACTCCCTCTCTCCACTCTTCCTGCCCACTCCCTCTCTCCACTCTTCCTGCCCACTCCCTCTCTCCACTCTTCCTGCCCACTCCCTCTCTCCACTCTTCCTGCCCACTCCCTCTCTCCACTCTTCCTGCCCACTCCCTCTCTCCACTCTTCCTGCCCAGACGTGAACCCGGCGGATCTTCCTCCCGATGCGGCCCCCGCTCGTCTGCCGTCGTGCCTGGACGAGTCTCTGGCGGCCTTTGAGGCGGATTCTGTGATGAGGGACGTGCTGGGGGACGTCATGGTCCAGGCGATTGTGGCCGTGCGCAAGGTGAGACTCCTTCACCAATGCCACACATACTGCAGCTGATGAGGTAGCCTGGACGAGTCCCTGGCTGCCTCTGAAGCAGATGCTTTGATGAGAGAGGCACTAAGGGACGTCATGGTGCAGGCGATCGTGGCTGTGCGCAAGGTGAGACCTGGGGAGGACGGACCAGGGGAAGGGTAATTACTGAAGGTGTGTTTTCGAGGCAGATAGTGCAGTGACAGAGGCACTAAGGGATGCCACGGTGCTGGCGATTGTGTCTGTGCGCAAGGTGAGACCTGGGGAGAGCGGACCAGGGAGGGTGTCCGCTTAAGTGGTGCCCTTGACGCAGACAGAGAGCAGACAGGCGCTGGGGATGCGATGGTGAAAGCCATTGTGGCAAAGGTGAGATTCGTGTGTGCTGCCATGCTCTCCGCAGCACCCACTCGCCGCCTGCTTCATCCCTTGAGGAGTCAGTACCTGCCTTGAGGAGTCAGTACCTGCCTTGAGGAGTCAGTACCTGCCTTGAGGAGTCAGTACCTGCCTTTGAATCAGATTCCGTGATGGGGGGAGGCACTGGGGGGTGAGAGCAATAGTGCTCTGCGCAAGGTGAGGTCTGGGGAGGGTGGAGCTGGAGGGCTCGTTGGCTGCCATTGAGGCGGATGTTGTGATGCGGGAGGCGCTGGGGAGTGCGATGGTGCAGGCGATCATGGATGTGCACCAGTGAGTTATGGTGGATGCCTAGTGAGCTTACAGGTTCTGCGGTCCCCTCGTCTAAGAGCATATTCCTACGGAGTGGTGTTCAGTACCCGCAACGGGAAACGGGTCCTCAACACCGTGATTGACAAATCTTACCGAGTCCAGTACCAGGACCACGAACCCGCATGTTCGCGCACGTGCGGGTGATTGGCTGACCGACAAAGTCACATTCGCAAACAGAACCCCCCGCGTCCATGTATGCCGCGTGTCACTCCGTTTCGTTGAGACAACAAGCCGTCGTGCCACACATTCGTGAACAGAAACGTGCGCATGCTTCAAATTTGGCGTATGGGTTGCAAATTTGGCTTTCTGGGCAGCGTTGTTCACTTGTTTGGCACCGTCCTGTAAATCGGCAATTACAGCACGGTGTTCAAGAATGGGATTCCCTATGCTGGTACTGAACACCATAGGGTAGGAATACGCTCTAAGTCTCCTCACTTTGCATTCAACCCCTCATTGTATTGCCGGTCCCTTGTATCTGTTCGACTGCCCTCTGCAACAGGCTGAGATTCAACATTACACTGGAAGAGCGTCCATGGTTAGTCAGCTCATAACCAAGTACTGAGTTGATGTATTATTGTGTTGGTTCGAAGTTGTAGGTACCGAAATGCTAAATAGTTCCTCTGAAGGTGACTTCATTGGTACATTTTGTATAGTTTTCCCCAAAGGAGCGCGGATGATTTTTAAAATGCCATAGTGGGATGTTATGTTAACCAATCTACTTTAGAATCATTAACAATAATTAGCACAATAAGATATGCTTCCGTGCTTCCCAAGTCTCTTCAGAGTCATCCTTCAAGGGCCTAACTCGATCATCGAATTTGGTTGTAGCGAGAATAATTTGTGCCAGCGTGGCTCATTACGTGGCCGAATTTTGTCGTGGACCACGTCGTTCCTCCTAAAATTTCGTCAGTCCGGGACAGATCTTCAGAAATTTGAGGTGTTGCTGCTGCTGGAGATGTCTTGTCCAGCAGTGTAGTTACGGCAAATCGGGATGGAGATTGAAAATCTTCCCACACGTGCTGAAAGCAGGGTCAAAAGGACGTAATTACAATTGAAATTCGCTAAACATTTCAGTTGTCAACGTTGTTTGCATGACTTAGAAAGGAAACGTTTCACTGTTTTTTTGGGGAGAACCTTCAAAACGCTACGCGTTCTGAGATTCCCACGTACCCAGACTCCAATCAGAACGCTTCATAAGTACGCCCTAGAGAAAAGCTCCTGGCCAAACCAAGCCTGCTCTATTGTGATGTTTGGTTGAGGCATGGTCTGGTCTGGAGGAAATCTGGAACTCTGGGGAATCTGACTGAATGCCAGGAGAAGACTCCATTTCCTGTTCCATATCGTTCCCCATTTGGCTCTCAGCATCTCGTCGATTCACACAAGGATAAGCCTTTCTTCTCCTAACAGCGAAAGCTGCCACTTTTCCACTCCTCCCGCTCTTCCCAACCTCCTTCGTCTAGTCATGGAGACCTTCTGCCTCGCTCGACCAGCCCTTGTGGTGGCTCCCCGCACCGTCCGCACCATCCGCACCCTCCCGGTGCGGTCACAGGCGAGAGTAGTCTGCGCCATTAAGTTCCCCGGATTCGGCTTCAATGGCAAGAACGAGAGTGAAGACAACGAAACCTACGCCGGAGCCGACTCTGCCACGACGTGAGTTTTTCCAGAATCTCATATATTTTTCTGTCCGTGCTTATCGTTGCTGCATTTAATTCTCCGATCCTGCTGTACGAGCTGCACGGCATGCTTGTTTTTGGGAATTTAATTACTCATGGCCCGCTCGCCATCCTGTACCGTTGACCATTTCCAGTGTGTTCCCAGCGGAGGCGTGCGACGAGCTGGGAGGCGAGTTCTGCAACGCCGAGGGCGTGTTCGCCGAGGTGAAGCTGGAGTCGAAACCCGAGCCCGTCAAGCAAGTCGTCGGGAAAGACGTCGGCACCGTGGACTACGACGGCCCTAAGACGTACGTTCGGAGTTGCGATATATTCCGCATTCAACCTTACTTGATATTTACGACAGTGCGATTTAACGTCATGAAGTCTGTCGACTATGACGGTCCTAAGATCGTCCGTCTGAATCTGCAGCATTTTTCGCATTCAGTCTTGTTCTTAAATCCGGGGAATATACTCGCCACAGAAAAACAGGGTGAAGAAACCAGACATCTGCTTTTATTCTTCATCGTGTGAGGAGATAAACATCTACATATTCATGGTTCTGGCACTGTAGCTTTAAATCTGACCAGACATTGCGAGTAGTGTCGGCTTACTCGTGATTTCTGACTGGGCTTCTTTCTTCTTCGCGCGTTTCTGTCCATGCAGCGTCTTCCCGGCGAGGCATGCGACGAGCTAGGAGGAGAGTTCTGCGAGCCGGATTACCAGGAGGGCGTGGGTCCCGAGAAGAAGCTCTGAACGCGAAATAATCCGTTCACTGGTTTGTACACGAAGCATTATTTATCAATCATTTTCATGTTTAACGGCGTTTTTCTTTGTGCTAGGAGGCCTTAGTGAGATTGTAAGTACCTGTGGTCATATGGAGCTGTTATTTCCAACCAACAGGGCGTTCAGGAAACACCAGGGACAGATAGTTCGAGCCTGCCCTCTTGTGGACTGATGTCGAACCGACCAGTTCTTCAGTGTCACACTCCGAACCCTCACTCCTTCCTGCTCGCCCCTCTCCCCACCATTCATCCCTCCCACTTCTCTGTGTCGTTGAACTCCTCTTTTCCCAACTACCCTCTTCCTCTCCCATCTCCGCCTAAGCCTAGGTGTTCCGTTCCGTCCTCCCGCAGCCTTGCTCTGTCTTCCCCTTCCGCCGCACTTCCGTCCATCCAATCCAACCTGCCTTCTCGCCTCGACTTCTCCCTTCCAAGACGAACCTTCGATTCCCCATCACTTCCGCAACGAGTGAGATGCATGCACATTCAGTTTTTTTATGGGGGACCGTAGAGCCTGCTACCGTGAGGTCAGCTAAGCCCCTCCCACCAAGTTCGGCCCAAATAACACGATGTTTCCAATGCACCTGAAACTGGGGCTGTCTCAGGACGTAAAAAGGAGAAATTATTAGTGCTAACTTGAAATGAACTCGAAATGAAAATATTAGGCTGCGGATTTTGTTCCACGTTTGTTGGAGGACTTCCAGGGCTCAACCTGAGCCTCTTGGTATGAGTAAGGAGGATTCCAATGCCCCTTATGTGCTACAGTATACTATCAAACATTTTTGTACATATTATAATAGGCCAGATAGGTGCATGCTCTTAGAGGGTACAACACTCACACAAAATTAACATGTATCGATTTGTCACATTCTTGTCAAGGTTCTACTCAGAGTTGGGATCACGCGCTAGGTTAGGTCCTCCTCTCCCCGCACGTCCGCTCTCGCCCTAGCCCTAGCCACCCGCCCCTAGCCACCCCTTAGCGCCCTGTCGACTCTGTGCGCCCCACAAGTCCTGTTCGCCCTTAGACTCGTTAGCGCCCCGTCGGGCCCGTTCGCCCTCACGACCCTGTTAGCGCCCCGTCGGCCCCATGCGCCCTCACGGCCCCGTTACCGCCCCGACGGCCCTGTGCACCCTCCCGGCCCCGTTAGCGCCCCGTCGACCCCGTGCGCCCCACTGGCCCTGCTCGCCCCGCCGGCCCATTCGCGCCCTCACGGCCCCGTTAGCACCCCATCGGCCTCGTGCGCCCCTCTGGCCCCACTCGCCCCACCGGCCTGTTAGTGCCCTTCCGGCCCGTTAGCGCCCTCCCAGCTCCGTTAGCGCCCTCCCATCTCCGTTAGCGCCCCGTTGGCCCGTTAGCCCCGTGCGCCCCTCTGGCCTTGCGCCCTACCGGCCCGTTAGCGCCCCGCCGGCTCGTTAGCGCCCCGCCGGCCCGTTAGCGCCTTGTTGGCCCCTTGCGCCCCCTCTAGCCCCACTTGCCCCGTCGGCCCCTTAGCGCCCCGCCGGCCCGCTCGCGCCCTCCCGGCCCCGCTCGCGCCCTCCCGACCCGTCGGCCCTGTGCGCCCTTAGCGCCCCGTCGGCCCCGTGCGCCCCGCCGGCCTGTTCGCGCCCTACCGGCCCTGCCTGCGCCCCGTCGGCCCTCGTCAACCAGTCAACTTGCCAGCCGCCCAGCCAGCCGGCTCCAGCCTCGCCGGCCCCCCGCTTCAGCCGCCGCCCGCCGGACCGTTGAGCCCCAGCGCCGACCCATCGGCTCTGGCTCCCTTCAGCGCCAGCCTCCCTGCCGGCTGTCTCCACCGCTCTCCACCGCTCTCCACCGCCCTCCACCAGCACTCCACCGCACTCCACCACACCCCACCATACTCCACTACACTACACCACACTCCATCATCTTTCCCGCTTCCTCCACATGTCCTCCTCACTCTGTCAGCGGCCATTAGCAGCTGCACAAGTGGCGATGGCGGAGTTACAGCTCCGTCTGGACGCTGAGGGTCGGGCGCTCGACTTTGAGGCGTGGCTCGTCGACCTTTGGCGTCACCTTACAGGTCAGTGCCAGGACGGTCACTCTCTGGCTGTTCATGTCGATGGCCTGCTTCCCCGCCCCCCTGCCCCTGCTGCCCTCCCTGATGCCCCCCCGACTGCTGAGCGTGAGGCCTTTTTTCGCTGCTACACTTAATTGTGCCATCTGGGACTCGCACGACGTTGTCGCCCAGCTTGCCATCAGCCGTGCGCTCCCGCAGTCTGAGCGTCCTTGCTTTACCACTGTAGGGAACACCCAGGACTTCTTAGATGTTGTCATTCCGCACTATTCCACCTCCGCTACTGCCTCTGCTGGTCGCCTGATCCTTCCCATACTGTTCCCTGATCTTGCGTCCTTCCCCACTGTAGCCGACTTTGCCACGCACTTCCGAGTGCTTGAGACGAGCTACCGCGCTGCTAGCACTAAGGCACAGCTCACTGCCTTCCCGTCGCCATTCTACGCTATCCTTTTATCTCATCGCCACACGCCTCCCTGATCGCCTAGCCACAGCCCACGACCACTTCCTTAGTCAGCACTTGGGTGACCTCACTCTCACCGCCTTTGTCACTGTCCTGTCTGAGATAGAGACCCGCCAGCGCAGTATCGCTCAGTCTAGCGGTACTGCAGCGGTGCCTATCTTTCAGGGCTGTGCTCCCTTCCACTGCACTTACTCTGACGTCTCTGCTGCTGTTGCTGAGACCGCTGCTGCGGCCTCAGCGCAGAAGCATCCGATTAAGGGTCGCCGACCCAAAAGGGGGCGCGGTGGAGGGAAGGGGGGTGGCGGTGGGGAGGGTGGCGGCGGTGAGTCTGGGGATGGTGGTCCAGACGAGGAGACCGGGGCTGGTGCCCCGGAGCAGCCGCAGCCTCAACAGCAGCAGCAGCAAACTCAGCAGCCGCAGCAGCCGCCGCCGTCGGCGCAGCAGCAGCAGTCACCATGGGGACCGTCGCCGCCGTGGTGGACTGGCGACGCTAGCGGCGGTGGTCGTGGGTGGGGCGGGCGTAGCTCGGTGTCGGGTGGCAGCTCCGGCCTATTTACGCTTGACACTGCATCCCCCCTGGTGAGGGCGTCCCCCCAGGTAGCCACGGCTTGCTCGTGTCTGTCGCTCACTCACCCGTCGCTGCTGTGGCACCATCTCGTAGGTCACCATGCACTCCCACGTCTACACCACATCTCCCAGCACGGTCTTGTCATAGGTCTTCCTGCGTCGCTCCCTTCCCTCCCTCCCTCGCATGCGTTGCCGTGCACGCCTTGCGTCGAGGGCCAGTTGCGCTGTGCTCCTTACTCCTCCTCGCTTCGCCCTGCCACCACGCCACTCTAGACCCTGCACCTGGACGTTTGGGGTCCAGCCCCTGTCCCTCGGCCGCGTCGAGAGTGCTACTTTTTGGTGCTTGACGACGACTACATGCGCTACACTATGGTGTTTCGTCTGGAGTAGAAGGCCGACGTGCTGAACCTGGTATTTTGCATTCTTGTAGGCTGCTTCCCTGCTGAATACTATGTACAATCAAACAATGCGAAAACTATTAACATTAGTTGGTGATGCTATGTACATTCCCCACAAGACTTAACAGAGGTGTCAGAACACACTTTGATGGAGCCATCTTTCTTGAATCCTACCATGGAGGGAAATAATGGATGAGAAGTAGGATAGCACTTTTGCACACCGGTAGATGCTACGGTACAGTAAATCCGCTCTGACATGGCACGACGCGCGAAGCGTTGATTTCGCATTTCCCAGGCAGTTCACCCGACCTGGAGAACTGATCCCCTAAAGGGCAGTTCCTCCAACCTCCAACTCCTCGAGCCTTTCCCCTCACCCTTGTTTTTGCAGAGCTGCATCACTGTCAGGAAGGCCTGGCTCGCAGGAGGAAAGACCTGATGGAGCTTCTGGAGGTTGAGCTCCGTTGCCATGATAAGCGCCACTCAGTTGTTATGCTTCCGGTGTATCTGAGGTAGCCGACCAAAGTCACATGCACGCTCGTCGCTTGCTAAGGGATTCTATCCAGACCAAGCTCGCAGTTTAGGTTTCGGTTCTCGAGTTTCGGCCAATATGCTGGTCAGGACGTACCAACGGAAGCGCAGAGGGGTACCGAGCGGTTCGGATGACTCCTTCGCCGATTCAGCGTCGCAGGATTCGCAAACGTTTTTCTCGTCCCAGTCGCAGGATTTCCAAGCAAACGGCCTTACATCGTCGCAGGTACGATATTGTCCGCTTAGGACAGAGTTGCGACCACGAGTTGCGACCAAACTTATGTTTCGCAGCTGTGATAATTTCCTGGTGCCTCAGCCGCCCTCGTCTGATCACATCTCTTCCGCATTCGTGACTGGCTGTCTCTCCCGATTCACGCTCGTCCTCGTTTCGTTCTGCAGAATTCAGATTGGTCGCTGGTCGGCAGCGATGATCCCGAGGCCATGCTGCACCGTCCAGGTTCTTCCCACCGCAACGCCAACCCTCCTGGTGGACTCTTTTCACCGGATTCCGAGCCTCTCCATCACGCCTGTTCCGAACCTGATGCTATTTGCGGGTTTCTTTCCCAACCGACTCGTTCCAGCCTCCCACCCCCCGGCCCCTCGCGCACTAGAGCCGAAAACAACCGAGCAGAACCGCGCCGACGATCAGCTGCGAGCTGGAGAAGCCACGTGGACGGTGGAGATGGATCCAGCTTCCTGAACCACGTCAGGATGAAGAAGGGCGGCAAACGGACCCAGAGCCAGGGGAGGAAGCAAGGCAGGGGCGTCAAGACAAAGGGTGAATCACAAGAGGCGGAGGTGGAACCCCTAGAACGGCGCAGGTGTGGCAATGGGAGGCGTGAGCACGAGAGCCAGCACGAGAGTGATGCGGAGGAGGAGGAACTGAGGGAGCTAGCAGCGCTCTTCAAGTCCCCTGTCCACCGCAACACGTTCTCCACACAGAAACAGAGCACCGCATTCATGCCTCCTGCTGGAATGGCAGCCACTGCAGCCATAGCAGCGGCCACAGCAGCAGCAGCAGCAGCAGCAGCAACAGCGACGGCGGCGGCCGCTACTGCTGCTGCTGTCCCAGCAACATCACCATTTGCCTCCAGGGAAACCCTAATGGAATCACAGGAGCTGTACTCCCAAGACTCATATTCCCAGGAGGCCGGTTACCAGGAGGACCGTTTCCAGGGCCCTCGCAGCACGACCCTGATGGAGGCGCAGGAGTCCGGCGAGATGATGGCGAGCCTGGATGAGGCCATGTTCGCGCTAGACGGGCTCAAGCTGCGGCAGCCAATTAGGGTGCAGCGCTCGGCCGCCACGTCACTGGCGTCCATCTGCTCTGCTGTGGACCGCCGCCGCCTGCTACGCTCGCAGGGGTAGGTGAGGCGCACCGCGCACGGGTATTTTCGTTGTCGGCGTGAATGGCTCGTAGGGGTCGGCCTTACAGGTGACTTTTTTGCAGAGTTTCTGGGAAAGGATGGTCTGAGTAATCGATTGTTAGACTAACAACACACTTGTCCCTCTGTCTATCTCTGTCTGTTTCTCCCCTCACAGGCTAGTAAAGCAGATCATGAACGCTCTTCTGCTGCTCCCACTAGCGGATCGCCCCCTCGCACTCGCTGCAGCAGCTATCTTCTTCTTCATCGCCTCTGATGTGAGTAGCCATGCGCACTTCGTTCTCTGCCCGGGGCTTTGGTGTTAGCTGCAAAGGCTTCACTGCACCTGTGTTTCTGCTCTACTCCTTCCCCCACCAGTATAAAATGTTTCTGGGCCCTTGCTTATTTTCTTGTTCTTTCTTTCTTTCTTTCTTTCTTTCTTTCTTTCTTTCTTTCTTCGTCTTCGTTAGTTCTCTTTCCAAATTGGACACAATAGCTGATCCCCTCAGCTTCCGCAACTTCTTTGTTCTGTTCTTTGTCTCTGGCATTTCCATATGCTTTTTACAACCACCCTCTCTTTTCCAAACTATCCTTTTTCGCACTGAAACCCCTTTGACCCAGGACGCTGAGAGTGACTTCCCAGACCCCTCCCACGCGCTCAGCTTCCTCCTCGCTCTCCTCAAGCACCACAGCGCCCCTCCATCTCCTCATGCCGCCTCAGACAACCCCTCAACTGCCTCTGCTACTCGTAGCCTCCCTGTGTCAACCCAGGCAATCTTATCACGGAGAGACTGCCCTCTCAAGGGGGCGGAAGGGCGAGAGGCAGAAGCAGCAGCAGCGGCAGAGTTGAAGGTCAGGAAGCTGTTTCCCAGTGGGGCGGTGTTGCGGGGGGGGGAGGAGGAGGAGGGGGAGGACGAGGAGCAGGTGGGAGAGAAGGGGTGTGGTGCTGCTTGTGCTGCTGGTGCTGCTGCTGGTGTTGGTGGTGCTTCAGATGTGACAGTTGTCGCGCTGGTGCTGGCCACGTTGAAGAGGATTTGCGCGTCTGTGATTGCCCTCCAAGGTCTCTCCACTGCCTGTTGTACTTGATGATACTGCAATGTCGTCCTTGCCTTTCTCGTCCTTGCTTTGCCAGTGCTTCCTGTGCATTGCTTTGTGGTGCTCTGCTGTGCTGTGCTGTGCTGTGCTGTGCTGTGCTGTGCGGTGCTGTGCTGTGCTGAAGACTGCAGTGCCACCATCACATTGCTTCGTAGCAACTAACTTGCTCTCCCCTTCCTTTCGCATTGCACGCGGATCCAGCAGCAGCCATCCAGCAGACAGCTTCTAATCCCCCTCTGCTGCCATGGTGCCTCAAGGGGCTGGGCGGTTACAGCTCATGCGCGTTGTTCGCTTGTCACGCCTCCATGTCTTCTCACTCAACTCAAAGGCCGCCCAGCTTCCCCCCTTCGTTCTCGTCCCTCCCTCCCCAGCAGCTGGCCTGCCAGACGACAGCAGCCTGCCTTTCTCCTCTGGCGGGGCGGGCCGGTCGCAGCTCATGCGCTATTATTTGCGTGTTGCACCTTCACGCTCGTCCCTCTCAATTCAAAGGCCGTCCAGCTTCTCCCCTTGCTTCTTGTCGCTCCCTCCCCCAGCAGCCGGCCTGCCAGACGACAGCAGCCTTCCCTTCTCTGCCGGGGCCGGGCGGTCGCAGCTCATGCGCTTCGGGCTCAAGGACGAAATGCGCCGCCTGGGAGGGCTGCACCTCGTGGCGGCCTTAGCTGGCAGCCACATGGTTCAGTTGGCAAAGTATACACACGAGGTGAGGGATGGGAAGGGCTGCCTGGGGGGGCTGCACCTGGTGGCGGCCTTGGCTGCAGGCCACATGGCGCAGTTTGCACACGAGGTGAGGGATGGAAAGGTGGCCTCTGGATCAGATTAGAAGGGCTGCCTGGGGGGGACTGCACCTGGTGGCGGTTCTACCTGCCATATGCTGCAATTGGCGCGATTCATATTCAGTCACGGCTCCTTCAAAGGGAAGGGAGAGCTGTAAGGCAGGGAAATGAATGCCGTTGGATTAAATCTAGGATGGAGGCAAGAAATAACACTTTTTCATTCTCAACTAGTTTGCTGTTTCCCAGCCGTATGCAGACAGGCTGGAAGGAACGGGAGCAGGGAGAAGCAGAAGCGGATTGAAGGTGCTGAGCGAGGAGAACCCGTCTGGGCACAAGAGGCGCCCCTTGCAGCAGCGCAAACAGGCAGCTACTAGCACCGACGGGGCGGCTGTTGATGGCATGGCGCAGGGCACAGCCTGCAGTGGAGCCAGCAGCGTTGATGTGGCGACGAGCTGTCTTGGGGTGTTGGAGCATGTGACGTTCATGAGCCGCGATAACCAGGTGCGTTGCACTCCCATGCGGATGTTCCCTCCAGGGCTCAAGCCCCATGGCCTGGCCCATGCGCCATGAGAAGGCCATCAGTGGTGAGGCGGCAACGCTGCCTTGAGGGGCTAGAGTATGTGCCGTTCATGGAGTATGTGCCGTTCATGGAGTATGTGTCGTTCATGGAGTATGTGCCGTTCATGGAGTCTGTGTCGTTCATGGAGTATGTGCCGTTCATGGAGTATGTGTCGTTCATGGAGTATGTGTTGTTCATGGAGTATGTGTCGTACATGGAGTATGTGCCGTTCATGGAGTATGTGCCGTTCATGGAGTATGTGTCGTTCATGGAGTATGTGCCGTTCATGGAGTATGTGTCGTTCATGGAGTATGTGCCGTTCATGGAGTATGTGTCGTTCATGGAGTATGTGTCGTTCATGGAGTATGTGTCGTTCATGGAGTATGTGCCGTTCATGGAGTATGTGCCGTTCATGGAGTATGTGTCGTTCATGGAGTATGTGCCGTTCATGGAGTATGTGCTGTTCATGGAGTATATGCCGTTCATGGAGTATGTGCCGTTCATGGAGTGTGTGCCGTTCATGGAGTATGTGCCGTTCATGGAGTATGTGCCGTTCATGGAGTATGTGCCGTTCATGGAGTATGTGCCGTTCATGGAGTATGTGCCGTTCATGGACCGCGATAACCATCAGGCCCCGTGGAACACCTCCCCGTGGCCCATGCCATCTTGCTTAGGCCTGCTCAATGCCTCCTTCCTCTTCTTGTCATGTGCCTGCCAGGGTCCGTTTGCCTTTGCTCCTTCGTGGCTTTTGAGTGTCAAGGAGAATCGCTTGCATAAGCTTGCAGATAACACCCCTTCTCCCGCCTCTCGACCACTCTCCATATCTCCTCCCCAGGACTATCTCATCCGCCTCTCTTTGCCCGATGAGTCCCTGACTGGAGCGAAGAGGAGAAAGCTGTCTGCCGGTCACAGCACCTCTCCTGCCATGCCGCTCATTGCCACAGCAGCCTCATGCGGGGCTGTGGGTGAGGGGGGCAGGGACTGTGGCAATGGCGACGCAAGAAATTGTTGCGAGAGCAGCGGTGGAAGGTCGTTTCTTGCCCTCCTGTTGGAGTGCCTCCAAGGGCTCTCAGGTAAGCACTCTCAACAGAAGCAGGGGCTCTGTGGGAGGGGAAGGGGAGTCAAAGGGAGTAGGGAGTGCAGCGGTAGCAGCAGCGGAAGGTCGTTTCTTGCTCCTGTTGGAGTGCCTTCAAGGGCTCTCACTCACGTACGCTTATGCACTCAACAGAGCCCAACGTTTCTCGTCCTTTGCTAAGACGGCGTCTTTTGTTCTTGTTTTCCGTCATCTTGTCCTTGGTAAGTCGTCTTCATGTTTACCCTCCATACACTTCGCGTGTCTTCGCGACCCTTCAGGTGGTGGGAGCGCTCAGAGCTCTCGAGCCGCGGAGAACATTGGCGCGTCAGGAGAAGACTCCGAAGGGGAAAAGAGAGGGGGGCTGGGAGGTGGCGATGGGCGCATGGTGATGCTGGGCGACGCTGTGCGTTTAGACCTGGAGGATGGGGTGGAGAGCGGGGAGGAGAGTGGAAAGGAGGAGGGGGGTGGCAGAGGACAAGGAGGGAGGAGAGCGTGTGGGTTGGCTGCAAGAGGGAGGTCTAGCGGCGTGGAAGCTATGAGAGAGCCGGGTGAGGAGGGAAACGACGCCCTAGGCAGTGGTGTGAACCAGCGAGGTTATGGTGGGGTGACAAGGAAGGGGAAGGGTGACTGTGCCGTGTCAGTAGGGCGAGGGGGAGGAGAGATGGCAGATAAGGGGCGAGGGGGCGTGAAGGCAGGTACAAAGACGAGGGAAACAGCAGACCCGTTCTCGTTTGACCCGTGGGAAGAGGAGAGCGGAGGGAGGAACGCAGGGAGGGCGGGTGCAGGGAGGGCGGGTGCAGGGAGGGCGGGTGCAGGGAGGAGAACAGCAGGGGATAGGGGACAGCGGGGACAGGCGTCTCGAAGATTGGTAATGCTGGGTGAGGATGTGGCGGAGGAGGAGGGACGACGCTTGGGACATGGCAAGGCTGGCGCTTGTTCTCGGAACGCTGGCGCCATTGTGCTGCTGGGTGAGGATGCTGGGGAGGAGGAGGAGGAGGAAGATGAAGTGTTGCGAGATTTCAAGGCTTGTACCGGTGCTGCCGCTGTTGTTCTGGGAGAGGATGTGGGGGAGGCAGAGGAGGAGGAGGAGGAGGAGGAGGAGGAGGAGGAGGAGGAGGTGGAGGAGGAGGAGGCGTTGAGAATTTGTAAGGCGTGTGACGGCGCTGGCCCTGTTGTACTGGGAGATGCAGTGGGGGAGGAGGAGCAGGAAGGCTGTGGTGTGGGTGAGAAGGAGAGAGAGTGTGGGGCGAGAGCAGAGAGAGAGCAGGGCCGGGGAGGGAAGGGGCGAAGCGAAAAGGTGGAGGAGGATCCGTACGAGTTTCTGATGGACTCGCAGGTGGAAGAGGAGCTGCTGGTGGGGGAGGACTGGGGGGGGCTTGCGGGAGGGGAGGGATGTGGGGAGATGTTAAGGAATGGCTTGTGTGGGTCAGGCGTTAGGCTGGGAGAGGACGTGGGGGGAGAGGGTAGTGGGAGTGAGGGTGAGTGCAGGGAGCAGTGCAGGCTGAGATGCGGGGGGGTGCATGATGGGAGGTTGCATAATGGAAGGCTACGAAATGGGAAGAGCAAGGAGCAGCTGAAGCACAAGGAGAGCCGAAACAGTTCCTTTACTGCGAGTGGTTGTAACAAGCGTGATAACACTGGGGGAGACGGTGCTGGTGATGGCGATGGCAGGCTGTCAGTGCGGTCAAAGCAGGGCCGCCGGTTCGTCCTGGCAGCATGCAAGGTGCTCATGAACCTCACCAACCACAGTGCGGAGGGGTGCAGAGCGGTGGCAGGGGCGGATGGCATCGCGGTGGTAGCCTCCCTCGCTGCTGCCTGCTGCTCGGACCAGTGCTGGCAGCAGGCTTTGACTGCTGGGTCTCTGGGTGAATCTGGTAGCGAGCAGCAGCAGCAGCAGCAGCAGCAGCAGCAGCAGCAGCAGCAGCAGCAGCAGCAGCAGCAGCAGCAGAAGGCAACAACCGTGGAAGCAACTTCAGAGTTGATTCAAGGGTCAACTTTTGGTGATGGTTCGGCGGCTGAAGCTGGAAATGGTGACAGGTGGAACGGAAGAGCGGAGCGCAATGGGAGTGACTCGCCAGCTGCTTTTGGTGTGAGGTGCAAGGAGGGTGGAAGAGAGGGGAGAGGGGGGGGAGGTGAGGCGGAAATGGATGACAAGTCTGGAAGGGATGGTCAGGGGGGAGGGAGGCGATGGGAGGGCGATGCTGACGTGCTCGTGGTGCTACTGGGGCTCATAGTCAACCTGGTGGAGGCTGATAGTGACACCAGGTACGGCTGATCCACGTGACTGGCTGATGCTGATGGGGGTAAGTGCAATACCTGGTACATCTTTGAATGTCCACGTGCTCGTGGTGCTGCTGGGGCTCATAGTCAACCTGGTGGAGGCTGATAGTGACACTAGGTACGGGCTGATGCGTATATTGGTGGGTGCAATAGCGAGTACATCTGGTAACGCCATCTGCTGTGTGCTCGTGGTGCTGATGGGACTGTTAGTCAGTAACGTGGAGGCTAGCCAATCGTGTGGTGGCTGATGCGGACACCAGGTATGCTGGGAGATTTTACAGGTGGCTGATGGCCAATGTGATACATTGATGCTTATGTTGGCCACTGCAATAGCGCGCGCAGCTCCGTGCTCCTTATATGTGCATGTGCTGGTGGTGCTGCTGGGCCTTATAGACAATCTGGTGGAGGCTCATGATGGCACCAGGTAGGGATGGGCGCCAATGCTGAAATCGGTAAGTGCAATGGTGGTCACAGATTTGAAGCTTTCTTTTTGCATGTGCATCTGCGTGGGCCTGTGGTGCGTCTGTTTTCATGGTCCATTCTGTGAAAGCTGGTGGCGGCACCTGGGAGGGCTCATGCTGCTCATGGCAACTTTTGAGTCGACTGAAAAGGCAAGCACGTGGAGGGGGGAGGGTGCAGATCTGAGCTCCCCTGCTCCTTGCGTGCTCATCTGCTTGTGCTTGTGCCTGGCATCTCATGTGGACTGGTGCAGGGTACATCTCATCTCCTGTACTTGTGTGTTTCTGTGTATGCAATGCACCCAAACCTTTCTCTAGATCGCTTCTGGCAGAAGTCACGTGCACGAGGCCTACGCAAGGGTGGCAGAAATCCAAGCAGCACAAGCCCCATGAACCCAGCACCCGACAACTGAAGCACCATCAGCAGAGGGCGGCAAAGCCAGGGGAGAGAGTGCCAATGGTGTCGCTTCTGTGTGCCATCTTCGCTTCACGGCAAAACGCTCACGTTTTGCGAAATGACGGCAAGAAAGAACAAGAGTTCGACAACAAGTGTCGGATCTCTGAGCCCTCTAGCCACAGGGGCTTGGGCAGTGGCGTGGGAGAGGCAGAGGCGATTGCTGGGGAGGGGGGCGCAGGGGAGCGTGGTAAGGGGAGGAATGGAGGGGAACGCGCCGGAATGACGAGGGGGAGTGCGGGTGGGGAGGAGATGGGGATGGCGGAGGAGAGGCGCCGGGTGGAGAGAGAAGTGGAGGAGCTTCAGAGGAGTGTGATGGGGGAGGGGGAGGTGATGGGTAGGGCGGAGATGATACAGGGAGGTTTGAAGGGGGGATTGTTGGGTGAAGGGGAGAGAGGGGGGAAGGAGGTGGGGGAGGGCGAGATGCTGGTGTCAATGATGGTGGAGGGGACGGTGGAGGCAGAGCAGATGATTATGGAGTCGCATGCTGCTCTGCTGCTGGGGCTACTGGCACAGCACAGGTGCGCCTTCCCTGATCACAGGTGTGTCAAGTTGCTGCCAACGCAGGTGTGATGGCATGCGGGCAGCTCAGGTGTGCGGATGATGGTGGAGGGGACAGTGGAAACACATGCTGCCCTGCTCTGCTGCTGGGGCTACTGGCACAGCACAGGTGAGATGGCAGGTGGCATGTCGCTGTGGTGCTACCACCAAACCTTCTCACTCCAACTGCCGCCACCTGCCATTTTCGTGAGGCGCCTAAAAAACGTCCCCCCCTGTCCCCCCCTCCCCCCTCCTTCCCCCCTCCCCCCAGCGAGTCTGCCTGCCAGTCCATCTGCCGCCAGCTGCCCGGCTCCTCCCTGCAGCCGCTGGCGCCAGTCCTGCAGCAATTCATGGTGGGCGCATGTCGATGTAGACTTACTGTCTCAGACTTACTCTCTTCACCTTACTTTCTTAGAGTACTGTCTTGGTCTCAATTTTGTTGTCCCAGTTCCGTGGCTTGCGCAAGTGAAGCATACCCGAACTTTCTGCGGGTGTGCCTCTCTTCGCGCATAGACAAGCCTCTGTCTCTTGGAAAGCAAGCTCCTCTCTACGTGCATTTTTAGATGCTTACGCTTGCACGCTTCACGCTTGTCGTCTTACCCTTGGTCGTTAGATGAGGAGGTTACAGTCTCCCTCTCCCTCTTCTCTGAAAGCATGTTCCTGCTGATTTGGCCTCAACATTTTAATTCTTTTTGGCGTGATCTCAACGTTCCGGATCAATTTGCCATGCTGTTGCGATACCAATGCTCCTATAATCTCCCCTCTATCACCACTTCGACATGCCATGTACACCTCAGGCGTTTCATGACAGTGTGGGGGCGCTCACTAGCGAGTCACGGCAGTTGCTGCACCAAGTCATTGTCCTCTGTGCCTCTCATGGGCGGCAGCAGCAGCAGGGTGAGCTGTAGCAACAGCAGGGAGAGCTGTAGCAGGGTGGGCAGCAGTAACAGTGTGGGCGTGACACCACGACAGTGCTTTCCAATCAGTCACCACAGGTTGGGCTGACGACGGGTTGGGCGGCAGAAGCGGTGTGGACTGGGTTAATATGCGCGGCAGAAGCAGTGGACTGTAGTAGTACGGGTGGCAAAAGCAGTGTGGGCGTGACAGTGTGTACAACAGCAGACTAGTCTGTAGCCGCAGGAATTAATGGTGGGGCTGACAACAGTTTGGGCGGCAGAAGCAGTGAGGTGGACATTTGGATGGGCAGGTGGGAAGCAGCATGGTGGGTTCAGCAGCAAGGTGGGGTCAGCAGCATAACATGATATAAGGGGAACATTAGCACTGACAGCAGCACGGACCAGCAGCAGAGCATTGCCACAGGGCAGAGCAACACATGGGAATGGAGCAGCTGAGCATTGCCACAGGGCAGAGCAACACATGGGAATGGAGCAGCTGAGCATTGCCACAGGGCAGAGCAACACATGGGAATGGAGCAGCTGAGCATTGCCACAGGGCAGAGCAACACATGGGAATGGAGCAGCTGAGCATTGCCACAGGGCAGAGCAACACATGGGAATGGAGCAGCTGAGCATTGCCACAGGGCAGAGCAACACATGGGAATGGAGCAGCTGAGCATTGCCACAGGGCAGAGCAACACATGGGAATGGAGCAGCTGAGCATTGCCGTGGGGAAAGCAGGTGGGGAAGGAAGGCAGCAAAACACACAGCGCAACTTGGGTTGGAAGGCAGCATGAGAGCTGGAAAACAGGCATGGAAAGGGTATGTTGGTGGCACTGTGTGGCTTATTTCGACAACTTCAGAGCCCTGGTCTTCCACTCCACATTGTGTACATCCAAGCTGGAACGGGCCACTGAATTGTAGGGGACATAGGTTGGTGCTAAGCTTGCACATTCTACCAGCAACGTTATCAGTGTCCCATATTTGTGAACAACAGGATTCTGCTAGTAGACACATCCATTCAGATCCTTATATACGCACTAATGAAGTCAATCACCTACCTGGTTCTCTTATTGCATACACAGCTTGAACCAACACTAAGACACACATCAGCAAAATATGCTGAACAAACCATGCATGAGCCATAAGCTAGTACACCAGTATGAGCTGCACCCCTGGCATGTTATTACCGGTACATGGACGTAACCACCAAGCTGAGCTGCACAACTCATTCATGAGCGAGGGGTGACACAGTCCTGAAGAGACGACACAAGCTCTCTCCTCCTCTCTGCAGGAACATCCCCCCTCATCTCCACAGCTGTTCCCTGCATGCTTGACTCCCCTCCACCACCACCACCACCACCACCCTGAGCCACCCTCCAGTACATGCAGGCCAGCTCAGTCACGTACTGGTCATACACCACAGTGGCATTGGCCCTCTTCTCCTTGATAGCTGGCCAGTCGAACCAGTCCATGGCGTACTGCCAGATCTGCCGCTGGGAATACTTGCTCACATCATCACACCCTGGGAGCTCCCCTGCAGGCACCGCGTGGCACACACCCTCGTGCGAGTAATACGCTGCCAGCTGGACGTACGTCTTGATGACACGTGGCGCATCGTCCCGGTGCTTTGTGGCGACACGGAACGGCTGCGAGTACGGAACGTGCACGCCGACACGAGGAATGGGCGTGTGATTGGTCCATTCCAGGGCCCAGTGCACCTCATCATGGGCGTACGCCCACATGTAATTCCCTATGGTCGTGTGGGCGATCTGGGTCTTCTCGAATTTGGGTCCGTGGACGGAGAACCACTCGAACGCCGAGTCGAAGCTCCCGCCCTTATCCTTGTGCAGATTCGCCACGTGGCTGCGGAACCGCGGCAGGACGCTCGTCGGCATGACGAAGGGCAGCTGAACCATGAAATTCGCGAAGTACTTGTCCTCGCCAACGAAGAACTGCGTGGAGGGTAACCAGTGGTTCATCTGCTTCTGCTTGCTGCCGATCACGTACGGCTTGCCGTCCGTCAGGTTGAACAGTAACCGGGGCGTTACTTTCATGTTGAAGATGACGTCATCGTCGATTAAAGCCACGTATGGTGCTGTTGTGTAGTTGTCAGCCCAAAGGTAGCTCCACTGCTGCAGGATCTTTCCTGGAAGCTTCAGGGGGTTATGCTCGTAGTAGACCTTGATCCACGTGGGTATGAGGTCCTCGGCCAATCGCTCGTCGCTGTCGAGGATGAGGATGACGTCACCGATGCCACGTGGCCACATCTGCTCGATGCTGGCGAAGAGCATCTCGAGCAAGAAGAAAGTGCTTGACACGTGGCTGCGGATTACGAGGTCCACGCGGCTGGGCCAAAGCGATCTGTCAGTAAGAGGCAGGAAGGAATTTCTGAGACTCGTGAGGGACCAAGGGGTGGGGGGGTAGTAACTATCATGGCGGTTTTGCTGGAACGAAGCAAACCAACAACTGTGAGCGCAACAGACGGGGAGAGATCCGAGAAGCTTCACGGCCGCAACGTCGTCCAGAGAGGCCTACCGATAAGCGTCGTCGTAGACGCTGAACAGCTCCGACAAACAGTGGCCCGTTCGCGTGCGTCGCTTGCAATCCCTCCCGCCTCCGCCGCGTGGCATGGGACTACTGCTCGTACTTCCGCCAACAGCCGCGAGCGCAGCGTCATTCGTTGAAGCATCGGGCCGATTATGCTCCGAAACGGCGACGCTGCTCCCCAAGCTCTGCAAAGATTCGTCTTCCGCCGTATCTGTAACAGGAACGGCCCAAGCTCGTGACGGCGCGTCAGTTCCTGCCGATGCGGTGTCGCCGTCTCCTTCTCGATTGTACTCGTCCGAACGGCTGCCGGCGATCAATGCGGGGGAGTCGTCGAGTCGTTGCGTTGAAGACGCGAGGTCGTCGCGGTAATCGTACGGCGCCCCCAAGAGCTGTCGCAGACCCGTTGCGCCACGGACCTCTGGCGACGAAACGTTTGTGCGACTGCCGGATTGTCGCACGGCGGAGGCGAGAAGGACGAGCGAGAGCACCGTGGCGAGGGGAAGGAGACCGAAGAGGGCCTCCCGGCGAGAAATCACAAGAAAAGGCGCGTCTTTGACGCCGCCTTTGCTCCGAATCTCCCCTTCGAGTCGAAGTGACGAAGGGCCATCTGCAGCTCTGCTCCTGGGACTTCTACAACTGTCAGACCGAGCGGAGCTACTGGTACTACTGCTGGTGTTGCTAGTAGTGGTCGTTGGGGTGGCAGAGCCGCTGCTGCCGTTGCTAGCGCTAGTAGTGCTGCTGGATCGCGAGACGGGTACCGATCGCGACGATGGCCCCGCGTCGGCCGCGGAAGATGTGTCCACGGAGATGGAGAGGTGGCAGGAACGGGGTGGCGCCGCCATGATGGCCGCACGTGCTTCGTAATTTCCAACTTAAGATCCTCGGGCTGCTCTCGTATTATCGAGAGCTCACGATGTCGTCGGCTCGAAAGTAATACCTCACTTACCGATGCGATTTCAGAAGGGCATAATTCTGCGTCACGAGGTGAAACACAGCCGGGTGACCGTCGCCCTTCTGGGATGTCAGCTAGACCAACTGGCCACGTTACTTGAGGCAACGATCTTGCAGGTTTTCAGATCCTGTCGGCGCCCCTGCTGGTGCGAGCCTCAGCACTCCCCGGCGCAGGATGGGGCGGGAGGCGAACGGAAACACCACACGTACATAATACTACACGCTGGTGGAGATACCAAGACAACATCATAAAAGTGGGACGAAACCTGACAGCTCGCAGCAGGTTAGGGCGTGTTTCCTGTAGTTCAGTTAGCAATGTGCAGGTCGTTTTCGTAAGGCAGGTTCGGATGTCAGGTTGACTACAACGCGCAGATACTTGTTTCGAGGTTTGCATGAACTCCCACACTGTAACATCACAGAGAAGCACATGTGCGCGCATCGCCAAATCGATTCACGCTGACAAAACCGAACCCCCAGCGATGCTACATTGTGGCATGCGACCGCGAAATTCATCTGGTGATGTTTGGGTTGGGAATCGGGCCACGCGCAGATTCGCAAACCATTTTACCTGATTTCGGGCATCAATCTCCAACTCCAGACTGCATGGCTTCTCGCATTCGATCATGGACTGTCAATCACAAGTGTTACGTTGGTCGATTTCCGTGATCGGAACGTGCCAATCTGATTTATGTCTGGTATACACAACCGTGGTAGAAAAGTGTTTCATTTTAATTACCGAGTAACCCTACACGAAGATCGCCAAACGATCGCCAAGTGATCGACGTGGAGCGCGACCTAATGTTCGCCTCATCACCTGAGAACGAACAGACTACCACGGTCAACCAGGTGATTCCCGGCGCATGGTTGAGGGGGGGAGGGGATTGCTCAAGAGAACGACAAGCCAGCACGTAGGGCTCTCCGTTGGCGGATTCAACGTCCACCTGCGTCGGTTGAGCTTGAAGTGTCACTGACGGGTCGCCCCGCCCCCTCTCGTCTCGAGAGGAAGGACGAGGAAAGCGAGCAGCAGAAGCGAGGGACGAGCAAGATTCTAGAAGCGAGTGAGTAGCGGTGGAGATCAGGGCTCTCGCCAAGCCTAGGGTATTACCCGTTAGCATACGGATTTGTCGAAGACAAATGGCCTTCACCAGGGCAAGGAAAAGCCCTAGAACTGCCAGGAACTCTTTCTCCCACATAATATGTCTCGGGTGGTTTGTAAGAGTTCAGAAAAATTCCGGCTAACATTTTCTCTTTTTGCTTGGCGGAGGCAGTTGGGGAAACTGTTAGGAAGGTTAGATGGGGTAATACGAGAGAATCTCCTACTACAAGTGCACTTCGTACGAAATCAAGAAAAGTAACCCGTAATCTCAAGGAATCACACGAAAAGTATTCCGTCAAGAAGACGGAATCAATAAAACATTACTACACAAAAGGGTAATTGCCCTTTTAGCCAGAGCCCTCGTGAAGATGAGTGAGGTGAGATTGGGAACGAGATCAAGGGTTGCTCTGGGCTGCGTGGCTTGGATTTGTGGCTGTGTGGGCGGTGCGACTGAGGGTGCTGCATTGGTGCATTTGCTTGCATTGATGCGGTTATGGACGGTGCGCCGTGATGGGATGGGCGACTCCATTCACATTTCCAATCTCTCCTGATTTTTTCGCATTCTGTAATGTTCGTGAAAGCTCTAATGATTTCTCTCGCCATTATGGACCAAAAGTATCACATGAACTTAAAAATGTGCATGTACAAGAAAATATGACTAGGTGAGACAAATTTGAGGTTGAGATTGCTTATTGATGGGGCCATGCATTCAAGTTTTTTTTTTTTTTTTTTTCAGATTGACAGATGATGAACCTTCTTCTATGATGAAACCCAAGTTCACTGCAATTGGCGTTGTATGTAAGTATCGGAATAACGCAATGAACTAGAAAGAATGATACACGGTGGTTTTGTCCTAAGGAGTTGTACACTCTATATGCATGCACCTATCCAGCATATAAAATATACAAATATATGTTGACACAACCCCTAGTCTAGACAAGGAGCAACGATTAGCAAGAGACACACAGCTCAGGGTGGCACAGTTGAAAGGAGCTACAAAGCTAGCTAGACATGAGAATGGCGAGAGGTTTTAGCTAGGGAGAAAAGTGAGGAGAGTAGAGTTGGAATAGAAAAGAGAAAACCTCTCTCTTCTAGTCCAACTCTCTTTTCTCTTGTAACTTTTCTCCCTAGCTAAAACCTCTCGACATTCCTAATGCCTAGTTACATAGTTAGCTCCTTATAACATGGTTTCAGAATAGGAAGATCCTGCTGCGCCTTGTCATCACACTTCCGCAACGTACTCGTTCCCTTCCCGTCACATTCGCGTCGTCGTCGCGGCCTCGCAGCACTACCGCGGCGGCCTCATCGAGCAACCGTGGTGGCCTCGCTGCGCTGCTGCGATGACGTCGTCGCACTGCCGCGGCGACCTCGTCGATTTCGCGCCGCCGTGACGGCCATATAGTGCTGCCATGACGCCGGCATGGTGATGTGATCATATCGTGCAGCGGTATCGGCATCACGCTGTGGCGATGTTGTCATGCTGCCGTGGCGACTTCGCCGTGCCTCCGTGCCGCCGTGTCGCCGTGCCACTGGGTCGCAGTGCCGCCTTGTCGTCGTGCTTGCCGTGGCGGCTTCGCCGCGCCAACGCACGGACGGCTGCGGCCAGCGCCCTGTCTTAGGTGCCGGCCATGACGCACACGCGCCAGCCAGTTCGCTAGCCACGCGTGTCTCGTACTAGTCGCTGCCCCTTATCTAGCCTAGGGGGTGTGTCAACATATACGCTGACGGAATTAATTGGGTTTGAAAAATCACACAAGTCTAAAGATTGTGTATTTTAAGCATGTTTAGTGTAGATTCATTACCAAGTACCCATTGTATAATGTGACAAAGGAGTGAATCATCCTTATGCTGTATGGTATTGTATGTTTTATCGAACTGCTTATACTGAGTCCACCACTTTGCTAGCAACACTCGATGTAGACAATTAGCTCCCGATTCGAGTCTTGAACTATTTTCTCTCGGCATTTCGCGATCTCGCAAACCTATCCGCCTAGTCTTTATCGACGACATAGCGTAAACCCCGCCAGGCTCCTAGCAACGATGCGGCCACTTTCTTTGCACCAGAAAGATAGGATCGCAATCCTGCTTCGACACGGTCATAGTTTTCGTCAGATCACTAGAATGCTAGGGATAGGGAAGAGCACTGTTTAGAAATACGCTTAAGAGGCCTCTCAGCGCACCAGCAGCCTAGCGGTTAGGCCGACAGTCCCGAGGTCTGGCCGACCGCGCCTGCTCTCAGTACGTGATAGGCGCATCCTCGTTCGCGCTGTGACTTCTGGCGAGGTGAAGACTAGCGTAGAAGCCGCTAAGCTACTAGAAACAGACCATGGCATTAAGATCTGCCACAGAGCAGTCCGCAACGCCCTCAAACTGTCCGGCCTAGTTGCCGTCCAACAACCGAAGAAGCCTCGTCTCTCCGCGCGTAACATCCGAGCCAGACTAGATTTTGCCAAGGCCCACCTTGACTGGACCTTGGACGACTGGAAACGGGTGGTCTAGTCTGATGAGACCAAGATCAACCGTTTCTGTAGTGACGGCCGGACATATGCATGGATTCGTGACGGGGCGGCTCTTCAAGGGCATCACATCAAGCAAAATGTTAAGCATGGGGGTGGGTCAGTCATGATATGGGGGTGTATGACGTACGATGGCCCTGGATACATGTGTAAAATCGACGGCCGTATGGACGGGCAACTGTATCGAAGCAAGCTTTGCCTTAAAACCTGGCATTTAATAAGCTGCATCTCTAAACACTACACACGATTATTCGCCTAGAGAGGCTGAGATGTGGACAATTTCTTCCGTCACTGTAATTTGTAAATGTTATACGCTAGTCAGGTGCATGCTCATATAGAGTACAACCCCATAGGTTATATTCCCTCGTACCACCTCATTCTAGTCACTTGTTCTATGCTAAGAGTCAACTGCATGTTGAATGGTTCCTTCCGATACGTCTTACTGTCAACATATATTTGTATACGTTATAGGCTAGATAGGTGCACGCTTACAAAGAGTACAGCTCCTTAGGACAAAACCACCCTGTATCACCCTTTCTAGTTCATTCCGTTATTGTAAGATGGTATCACGTTAGATTAGGCCCCCCTCCCCGCTTACGCTTCCACCCATAGCCCTAGCTCTAGCCCTAGCCCATGTCCTAGCCACGTCCTAGTCGTGCCCTAGCTCTAGCCGCGTCCTAGCCGTGTCCGAGCTGCGTCCTAGCCGTGACCTAGCCCTAGCCGCACCCGGCCCTAGCTCTGCCCGTGCCGGCCCGCTAGTTCGCGCCGGCCCTGCCATTTCGAGTTGGCCCCAGTTCGCGCTGGCCCCTGTTCCCGCCGTGTCGCCGTGGTGCCGTACCGCTGTGTCGTTGTGTCGTAGTGCCACTGTGTTCCCATGTCGTCGTGTCGCCGGGCTACCGTGCCGCTATCATTTGCGGTGGTTGTGGTGACGGCGGACGGTGTGCTCCGCCTGGACGCAGAGGGTCGGGCGATCGACTTTGAGGCGTGGCTCGTCAACCTCCGCCGTCAGCTTACAAGTCAGCGCCAGAATGGCTACTCCCTGTCCGTCCACGTCGACAGTAAGCTTACCTGCCCCGCCGCGCCCCCTGTCCTCCCTGATGCTCCCACATTTGCTGAGCATGAGTCCTTTGCCACTGCTGAACTTGCCTATGATGTCTAGGAGTTGTGCGATGCGGTAGAGCAGCTTGCTATAAGTTACGCCCTCCCCCTGTCTGAGCGTCCCCGCTATACTGCTGTAGCAAATGCAAAGAAATACTTAGATGCAGTCATCACGCGTTATTCCACTCCCTCCTCCACCTCAGTCGACCATCTGATCCTCCCCATAATTTTTTCCGGATCTTGCGTTCTTCCCAATTGTCGCTGACCTTGCCACTCACCTCCGCGAACATCAGACTAGTTACCGCGCTACTAGTACTGAGGCCCAGCTCACAGCATTCCCTCCTCCCCTCTGCGCTACCCGTTACCCCATTGCCACACGCCTTCCTGACCACCTTGCCACTGCCTACAACCACTTCCTTAGTTAGCACCCAGGTGACCTCACGCTTCTTGCCTTTGTCACCGCCCTGTCCGCGATAGAGACCCGTCAGCCCACTATCACTCA